TCGTTTGAAAAATGGCCAACGTATTACAATTGACTGTCCGAAAGCAGTGAAAGATTACAATCAGTTTTCACATGGAGTTGATCGGCTCAATCAAAGAATATCATGCTATAATCTCGATCGCAAGTCTAAAAGGAATTGGCTGCGAATGTTTATTTATTTTCTGAATGCAGCAATTTGCAACTCATTCATTTGTTATAATCAGTTAGCTCAAGATAAGTTAACATACTTGAACTATATGATTTCACTGGCGAAGTCTCTCTGTTCCGTTAGTGAACGAGTGAGTCGCGGAAGACCTCCCTCTGAAAACAAGTCTAAACTAGCATCGTCCACAACGGTCCTTAAATTTGTCAATGATATGCATTTGCCAGTGAAAGGAAAAAGAAGAAGATGTGCTTATTGTAGTACAAAGGAAACAAATTTTCGATCTAACATCGAGTGCTTTACTTGCAAATTGTCATTTTGTTTAAAAGATGGAAAAAACTGTTTTTTTGACTATCACAGTATTTTCAAGTAGCCATTTTGAATTAAAATAAAATAAAAAGATTAAACATGTTGATTTCGATTGGAAAAAAAAATCGGTCCTCAAAGGGTTAACAAAGAACGATAACTTTCACAGGACGAGAATGAAGCACGTGGTATCTTCTTTTCATTTTTTCAGAAATGAATTCTGTTTGAGTCTCTACTAACTACTAATCGTTTGGAATCTCGGCTATTTCATATGCTTGTGCTGTTTAAGGTCTTCTTCATCATGATTTTTGATCACGATCAGTTGAGATCTGATTACGGCATGACAGATCATGGAAAAATTTCCCTACTCAGCCCTAGCTTCTATCGAGGCAAAGGGAGAATCGATAGGTGGGAAAAGAACGAATCTTGTTCTGCTATCCGTGTGTGTTTCTTTTACATTGGTACCCATTCTAAACACATATTCATCGTGATTAATAACCAGTTTTCTTTAAATACAATTGTCTTCGGCGAAAATGACATAAAAAGCTTGTTTTGATATCCAATATTCAAACTCCGATGTAAACTATATCAATCAGTAACTGAAAATACCGATCATCATTCACTTCGATTTGTCGACAGTACATCGATTAGAAATATACAAAAATGTGTAGGCGAGACCTTATTTAAGAGAGAGTTAGTCTAAAGTCATGCTAACCGTTATGACGAAGTAGACAACAGGTCATATTCGGAAGACTGACAACTTTTTTGGTGACTCAGCGTCCTAGCGAGTTAATTGGGAAGCGTTTTGGTCTCGACTCGACCCAAACGTGAGCTGACCAGAACCCGACCCGAACGGACACGAAAATTTTTCCACTGTGATCCGAAATACCCAGGCAAACATCACCTATGGAAAAATCTAGATACATTTCGTCTGTAATCGGGCGATATACGGCTAGTTGTCATCTAGATTACTAGCTGCAAAAGGGGCTTTTAACTAGTTGAGCCTGCATGTGCAACTAGCAATAGTTAAATCGATCGATAGGTCGATAGTTGCAACTAGATGAAATGTAGCAATCGCCCGATTACTAGATTTTCACTGTCGTCACTCAATAGTTGCAATCGAGTAAAAATCTATTAATCTAGATGGATCGGGCGATACTAGACTTTTTTTGACGCTTGGATATAGCCGAAACATGAAAATGTTTTCGTACACATTCGTAAAGTAACACTTCTTTCCTACAGAAAAGTAATCTTTCTCAGATTGTTTTGAAATTTTTTCAAAGGAATGGTGAGATTCTTTACGATTTCTATAATTTATTCCTTGTATGAATGGAAAAGTTTGGGTAATTCAGGCAGTTTTTCTTATATTGACCTGAGCTTGAACCGAAACAGGTCAATCAAACGTGATCCGAACCCGAACGTGAGCTGACCCGACCCGACCCGAATCAATATCTTTTATCTTGATCCGAACGTGGTCCATTTCGGCCTTTGAGAGCTTATAAAGGATCATAGCGCTCAAGCGGAATTTTACATTTACATGATGGAAAGAAAGGACACCCTGCTTCTGTATCTGCAGTGACAATTGTAAATACGAATGGTGAAAGTGACGTCGATTGGCACTGTAAAGAGTCAATCAAGAATATGGCATCGACAAAGCGATGCAATTCGTGCAGTGAACCACGACATGCTCTCTCCTCATCCTCGAATGCGACGACAGCGGCACAAGCACTAGTCGCCGTCAAAGGAAAGTACGAATCACCATCATCACCGAATATAGATCAGCGAGATCGACTTTCAATACGTTCAGAACCAACGACAACAGGTACACTTTATGGCATCACTTTCGCCACTCACTACTTTATTCGTAGACAAATAGTTCACATGACTGAGGCTGCATCTTCATTCAAGCTCAATTTGAGGTATTATCGTACCTTGAAGCGAGGTGGCGATTAGTGTCTGAGCTCCTAATGGAGGTTCGGCAACAGTAAATGGTTGAGATCCTAATGGACTTTCAACATTTACGCGCGTACGCTTGCGATCCGGTAATACATCGAACGTTGGGGTATCCGAAACACTATTGTCGATTGTTTTAGCATCTGATGTAGAAGACCTTTTGATGGAAATCACCGGTAGTTCAAGTTGCTGCTTAACTTGCTGGGCTTCAAGCGGTTGTTGCTAGGGGATATTCTCATCAGATATAATAATAGTTGACTCGGGTGACGTAATCGGAGAAGTGTGAGGCTGGTAATTCAGAGGATCTAGAAGGTTTTCCTTCGATGGATCACTATCATTTGACATACCTTTCTACACTATTCGGTGACGTTGTAGCAAGTATAAAAGTAATTGACTGAAATTGTTTTGGCTATGCCAGAATGATAATCGGATTAAAATAATTTATTTTATTTTTCCATCGAAACAATAAAAATTAAAAAGTTAACAAAGAAGAAAAAAAGACTTAAAAAAGATTAAAAGATGGCAAGATGGCTGGGGTTTTCTCTGTACAAAAACGTTTTCAATTTTATCAGTTGGCCAGAGATGAGCGGGAATGCGATTCACATCGGTTAATAAAGTGAATAGAGTGAATAGATAAGAGAAGAATGCTCTAGGAAGATGCATAACTGTTTGTGCATGCAGTATACGAGTGGTAATAAAAAGAATATGGGATATTTTGATGATTCGGTAGTAGAATGCGAACAACAGAAAGAAATGAAACTATCATAGGATGGGAAAGAAAGAGAGAAATGAAACTAGCATAGGATGGGAAAGAAAGAGAGAAATGAATCGTCTCTCATATATGTATGTTTATCACTTGTACGTGGAAACATTGCTGAGATATAGGAAAGGAAATTGAATGATAGCTTTTTATTATGAATGGCAAGGACTGGATGATGATTTTGAATAAAACAATTAAAAAAAGTTAAAAAGATTGAATAAAAGGAATTGTATCAGAAACTTTCATGTATTCGAGACAGGAGGGCGGAGCAAAGTGAGTCCGGGGTATTTTTTGCAGTGAATATTTGTTATCGCGATTGGCGAGTAAGAAAAAGTGAGGAAAAAACATCTGAGCTAAAGTTCTATAAGAGACAGAAGTAATTGTCTTCTTAGTCTATTCCCATTGCTTGTAATTGTCTTGAGGCTGCTTCATACGGCTTTGAAGCGGTATTCAGTTTTTGTATATGTGGTGGCATCTGCTGTTGCCCGTCTTTTATCAACTCCAGTCATGATTGCCATTGCCCGATATTTTCTTACATGTCTTTTAATAAATTGGACTATGAAGTATCCAATAGCAGCAGCGATAATCATAATCAGAATATCGCGCCAGTTGAAATGGACGCGTTCATTGTGCTTTTCAATGACGTTATGCAGATTAATAGTGATTACACCTGAATGAATGTTTTTATGTTCGGTACCAAAAAGCATTGCTTCTGAGGCTGCTGGACCGGTAAGATGTAGTTTATCGAATGAATCGTTTTCCAATATATCGGTTTTTACGACAATAATCGGTATTGTTGTCGATAGTTCATCGAGTAGTTCGTTATAACGGTCAATTTGTGCGTTAACGGCATAGGGTGAGGGGAATAATTTGGTGGTTTTTTTTCGCGGAAAGACTTTTTGAATAAAACTTTCTGTATTTGAGGAAAACAATATCGGATATTATTATACATCATTGTTATCGATTTAATCATCATAATCATATTTATCTGATAGGTCGTTCGTACCGACAATAAGTAATACTTGTCTTACATCAGATAGGAACTGTGTACCATCGTTTGAATACACATATTCGATTAATTTGTCGATGGTCGCTCCCGATTGCGAGTACAATTTATTTGTAGCATGTGGTGATTGTAGCTCGTCTTGTCGTATTTGAGACGCCATCTGATAATACTGCTACGGTTGGAACTGGAATCAGATCAGCAGTTGTCGTTGGTAATGGCAAAGGTTTAGACTGCGGTTTCGAGTTGACCGTTATGATTGCATTGGTCGATTTGGTTGCTTCAGGTGTGAGGGTTGGTTGAACTGCTCGTTGGCGTTCACGTTTCTGTTTTTGACTTTCTTCAAATTGTTTTCGTATTTGTTGTCGAACAAAAAATCGAGATATATATGCAGGATCGATCGACATTAATGGTGGAGGATTGTATCGATACGCTGTATTTTGCGATGATCCTTGCGATAAACGGGTGTTTTCTACTCTTGGAATATGAGAAGCACGGGGTTGGTTAGATGGATTAAAACGCATTCTGGTAGAAGAGCGGAAACGAGAACGAGATCCGCGCGATGGTGGTCGACGAAATTGCGGTGGGGGTATTTGAAGATAAGGTGTTGTTGTCGGAACATTTTTTTCGAGTTTTTTTGTCGATTTATTCTTCGATTTCTTGCCCGACTTATTAACTTTCGATGTTACCATCCACTGTACTGACACTTCCGGGATGGTTAGCGATAGCATATCGTCCATCGCATCACTATTGAAGCCGTTACAATCAATCGCAGAAGTAGTAAGATTAATTATTGTCTTTGTTTGAGGAACCGCGTATATCGGCTCTGTTGTTTGAGGTATTATCGTACCTTGAAGCGAGGTGGCGATTAGTGTCTGAGCTCCTAATGGAGGTTCGGCAACAGTAAATGGTTGAGATCCTAATGGACTTTCAACATTTACGCGCGTACGCTTGCGATCCGGTAATACATCGAACGTTGGGGTATCCGAAACACTATTGTCGATTGTTTTAGCATCTGATGTAGAAGACCTTTTGATGGAAATCACCGGTAGTTCAAGTTGCTGCTTAACTTGCTGGGCTTCAAGCGGTTGTTGCTAGGGGATATTCTCATCAGATATAATAATAGTTGACTCGGGTGACGTAATCGGAGAAGTGTGAGGCTGGTAATTCAGAGGATCTAGAAGGTTTTCCTTCGATGGATCACTATCATTTGACATACCTTTCTACACTATTCGGTGACGTTGTAGCAAGTATAAAAGTAATTGACTGAAATTGTTTTGGCTATGCCAGAATGATAATCGGATTAAAATAATTTATTTTATTTTTCCATCGAAACAATAAAAATTAAAAAGTTAACAAAGAAGAAAAAAAGACTTAAAAAAGATTAAAAGATGGCAAGATGGCTGGGGTTTTCTCTGTACAAAAACGTTTTCAATTTTATCAGTTGGCCAGAGATGAGCGGGAATGCGATTCACATCGGTTAATAAAGTGAATAGAGTGAATAGATAAGAGAAGAATGCTCTAGGAAGATGCATAACTGTTTGTGCATGCAGTATACGAGTGGTAATAAAAAGAATATGGGATATTTTGATGATTCGGTAGTGGAATGCGAGCAACAGAAATCATGATCATTTCCTGTGCGAACGTTTATCGATGGGTCGATGGTATCTCTGTTTACCTTGGCCGGATTCTCTGTAAACTAATGTCACAGCAATGACTGAGTGATTTGCGAATAGTTCCTCATGCTGAAGTTGACTGGCTGTTGACGAGGAGTGTCAAGTCAGGCAGTCGACGTCACTCATGTTGACTGACGAGCTCTAAGGCTTACGGAGTCATGTTTGGATATATATATACTCAGTTGTTTCCTTGACCTTAAAAGGAATCTGTAGCATTTTAGTTCACGTTGGGGCTTATGGATGGAATTTGAATGTTCATCAAATTGGAATCAGGGCGAAAACAACTCGGACTAAGAAAAGTATCTTAAAGGTATTATTTCTTTCTTTTCAAGGTGAAAATTATATCATCTTGTAGAAGACTTTCTGCTTCATCAACCATACGCATTGTCACCCATTTGGACTTAATTCAAATTAGTTAATTAGAAATTATGAAAAGTAAAAGGCATTATTTTAGTCAGTTTACTTCAAGTTTCCTCTTGAAACTCAGTGTTCCAGGTTCGTTCCATCTGTTTTGACTGAGTTTATCATAATTACCCCAACGATAGACGTTAACTTATCATAATTACACCAAATGGGGGAACAAATCTTTTTCGAAATAAATGGTCTAACCTCTATGATCTTTTAGTTAATGTTTTTGAGGTGCCTTCGGGAAAAATGAAAAGAGAAACAGCGTACCGTATTTGTTCAATCTAGGTTTGTGACTCAGTATTGCTAAAGATTCTTTTATTAATAATCGATAAGGATCTTATATAAGTGATTGTTGGTAAAGGGGAACACTTGTACAGCAAATAACACTCACGATGATCAGCCAAATAGAAAAATAAATAATTATTAATAACCATCCGTATAAATTTATCAAAAGTGTTTAGTAAAACGCTAAAACACTTTACTGAAACTATGCAACCAAAATTTGCTTTGAAAGTATTTTGATGACCATCAAAAAGAGTCGCTTCTTTCTTTCAACAAAAAAGATATATTTGCTAATTCGCTTCAATCGGATCAGGTATACGCAGTTAATTGTAAAGATTATGACGATTCGTGTATAGCTAAAGGAACGAGACTAGTGTATGGCGAATTAGTTGAACGTGGCACTCCTTTTAAAAGTGAATTAATAAGTCATTAATAGGATTCAAAAATGACGCAGGTGGAGACATAGATAAACAGTAGAAACAGTAGGGAGATGTAACACATGTTCTTTGAAAAAGATAAAAGTTTAACTGTGGAAAATCTACTCTTAAACGACAAAACAGAGTTTCTGTGTGACGCCTTACGTCTACGTCTGCTACAGAAGATTCACAATGAACGTTCACAATGAAGCCTGGTAGCAAAAAATAGTTTTCGAGAAAAACGTATTTTGTACGCAGGCCACTTTTTTCAGGGCATTTGCCGCGATGCTTATAACTCCGCGACAACTCATCGGGAAATCCTGGAGACTTCTATCAGGCTATGTGTAAGAAAAATTTTGAATATACAGAAAAAGAAAGAAAAGTTTATGAAACTAAAAAACTGAGTTTTTTTAGATTTCGAAGGGAAAACATAAAAAATGCATAACTTTTTGAAGAAAGGTCGTAGAGCGTTGGGAGTTGTTTCATTTTGTAGCCCACACTTTCCTCTACATTAGACTATGCTCAGCTCAAAATCTGAAATTTTGTCCAAAAAGAGGGGCGGAGGGACCCTTAAATATAATATATATTATGCTATCAGACAGATATTTTCGCCTGGCTCAGAATTAATAGTGTTATTTAATAGAAAGTAAACGAACATAAGTTCCCTTATATGTCGGTGAAATTTAGAGTTATTTGGGTTCACATGAGGTTTGTCATCGTTATTTGCCTTTTACTGTATGAACTGTATCATTAGCCTCATTTTTCGTTCTTTGAATGGTTATTGTTAATGATGGATCATATGTAATGGAATTCTGTTGTTCCATTACCTGTGATTTATCTTAAAAATATAATTTCTTTTTTGACTTTTTTATAGTTGTGGTCGTAACTGATCGTCCTGCGTTAAATGCTGTTGTTAAACATAGATATGTCATCGTCATCATCATCATCGGTCGGCTGCGAACAATCGAGGTTTGCAGGCGACAACAATCTTGGACCAATTCTCTCTGTTCGTGGCAGCCTTTTTAATCTCGTCTACAGATGGTGGTGTATCGTTGTTAATTAGCCTCGCAATGTAATCGGAATACATTAGACAGAAGCTACCCCGCTTGCGCTTGTCATGACTCGGTTTCGGTGAGTAGAGAACGTACACGTTGATGAATTCCCTCGCATCTCTTCGAAGGCAATGACCGATGAATCGCAGTTGGCGTCGTTGCACTGTTTGCACCAGAGATTCTTGTCCGGTCTTTTTGTAGACAGTGGCATTCGATATCTTGTCAAGACGCTTGATGTTCAATACTACTTTGTAGCAGCTGCTGGCAAAGCTGTTCAAACTGCTCTAGAGCTTGCGGGTGATGATCCAGCTCTCGCAGCCGTATAGGAGTATGGAAAGACACGAGGCTTGGAAGATGCTGATTTTGAGACGAGTTGGAATTGTCTTTGGGCGCCAGCTATCTTTCATTTTCCAGAAGGCTCCCCAGGCTTGGCCTTTTTGCACTTTGATGTCGGTCTCGCTGGACAACATCATTGAACCGAGATATTTGAAGTTATCGACCTACTCGATTTCGCGTCCGTCGAGTTTGATTGTGCTGTTGTTAGCGGTCTGGTTGGTCATCGCTTGCGTCTTCTGGATGTTGACTTGGAAGCTTACTTCGCTAGCGTGTTTGGCTGTTGAAATGCGCTGCGCTTGAGCTCTCTCGAGTGTGCTTTCTAGAAGAGCTATGTCGTCGGCGAAGTCGAGATCGTTTATTGTTGTTGCTTTGTGCCGAGTGGACTGCCGCAGATTGGTGACGAAGCCATGCTCACCCTTTTCGTTCGTGTGGTCCAGCTCAGCATTCCTCATGACGTAGTCGATCACGTTGATGAAGAGGAAAGGTGTTAGGGTGTCTCCCTGAAGGACGCCGGTCGTTACATCAAATTCTTCAGGCAGATTACCTTCCACTAAGACTGCGCTACGAGAATTGTGATAGATGGCTTTGATAGCCTGTACGATCTTGTGCCACTCCGTAGTGCCTTAGGATGTCGATAGTCCGACAAAATCCAACCCTTCACTTCCGTGTAGTGTCGGACGGGCAACGTCAATTTGACGGCTAAGATGGGCTCTGATAAAGCGCTTCAGAACTAGTCATCCGAAGCGTGGTTTTGTACTTACTCCGAAAACAACAATAGATATGTACGATTATTTAAATCATACTTAGTAAAGAACCTCATCATATTATAACCACTTTTATCAGCATCAATTAAATCTTGAACAGCTAAAATATCTTGACCGCGATCGTCGTTGATAGATTAAACAGCCCGCAATGTCATGTTCCTTTACGACGCGCTTTAGTTTAAGTTTGGCTAGGCGTTCTTTGTAAAATTGTATCTCACATGTGTTTCATGTTTATTTTTTTATGCGAAGGAGAGTCCAGTGTAGCGCTAACAGTTTTTGTCAGTTGACTGTATTTCTGCCAAAGTTATATTGCCACGAGACTCAGCATGCTGGATAATCCATGTTTCCATTCATTTTCGAGATGACCACACCTGAGGAAATATCGATCCTGGAGCTACTTTGGTAGATCCTGGAATCACGATCTATAAAGCGTACAGATTCTTAAAATGACGAACTAGTTTTGGAATCATCGCCAAGGTCAAGACGGTATTCTACCTACATAGAAATGAAGAGCAGGAAAAGCTCTATCCAGCCGTATATAATTTATTGACTCAACACGTGCCAATTTGATAAAAAGCCAAGTTGAAGATTATGAAATACGCGATAGAATTTGTGATCTTTCTTAGCGGTGCAACGCAATGATTGTTGCCTGGAAAATGTCCAGAAATGTAGAGCGAGACTTTCTTTATTTTCTGGGAAAAAGATTTTTTTAATTTGATGTCGAACCCGATTTTCCAGCGAAGCGTCCCGTCCCCATCTTTCGAACTTTTCATGCTACCTGCATCTCTTATTTCCAAAATTCTACTACGGCAGAAAAAATTTTTTCAAACTTTTATAACCTATCTTATACATCTTTAAGTTTTCTACAAAATGTATATAATGGTAAATACTTTCAGAGTAATTTTTCAATTCTATTATTACGATGCTGTAAAATTTAATTATTATGATCATTATGGTTTATAATGGTAAAGGAGATAAAATATACCTAAACATCTATCACGCATCGTCCAATAGCAGGTACACGTAATGGAACACATAAGCTACCCAATAATGTAACAGCACAACAGAGGAATCAACAGCAACCCCCAACGACTGCCAACTTGTGGAATCGTTGCTTGCGTCAAGATAGTACTCTATCCCCACAAAACCAGCCTGTATTAATACCGAAAGAAAATAGCAAAAAATTTCTACATTACCTGGATCAGCGCATCCTTCCAGCAAAGCACATGGATCTTTCCTTCTCCTCGTCTCTGATTTTGTTTATATATAAAATTAATTCAATTATCGAGCGACAAGTGTGTCAATAGTCACTACAAAAATTTTCATTTCCTTTTTAATAGAACGTTGATTCTGTCTACACATTAAAAGTCAAATAAGAAGCAAGAATGAATAATACATCTAATAAAACATTTTTATATTTATTATTATTATTATTTCTCGGCTTCACTAGCTCTCATACACATGGTCGATACTTTTGTATTGTGAGCAACATACACGACGTGTAAAATAAATTTTTCACAATCAAAGTTTTAGCATGTAAGTTGGTCAATATACTATGAAGATGATGCAAAAAAGAACATGTCATTCAACTTTATTTGAGTGATAAAACTGTTCACACTAAACAATAAACGAAAGTGACTCGTGACTTAGGTATGTCTGATCATCGTGTGAGATGAAATGCATTAATGCATTACTGCGTATGACGACACTCAGAGAGCGGTTTTGAGAGTTGAAATGATTGCAACAGGTTAGATGTTATTCTTCCAATTTAGTGCTGAAAATAGATTTAGCTTGTTATGGAAATTAATAGTCTAACATCTGAATTACAAGAAATAAAACCATTTGTACAAGCCGTATTATTTACACAAACTAAGTCACGAATATTCTCTCCATCGACTGATAATACCTCATCGCTGATATTACCATCACGATTCTTTGTTTCCTTTCGGATCTCATCGATTCCTTTTCATCACTGTTCAAGGCTCTATATGCAGGATGTGGTCTTGAAGAAAACTGATAGATTTTTTTGTAAAAAGCAGAAGTACTGACCATACCATATATTTTGGCGTAGTTAGTATTTGGTGCAAACTGTTTTTCACGATAAATGCTCAAATCATAGCTTATTGGATTCGAAACTGAATGACGATTACGAATCTTAGGTTCATTTTACCTCAACCTAATATATATATAACAGAGAATCGTGCGACTGGAGGCAGAGTTTGTCTATATTGATCTCTTTCGCCAATAAAGAAATGGAAAAACGAAAGTAAAGTTCTTCTGTCTTTCCGTAGGTTATCGAGCTAATTCTTTTTTTATATTTCGCAGCTATTATAAGCGCCAAAATTTATAAGGTCGGTAGTTGTGTCTTTTTACAGAAATACCTGTCAGTTTTCTTCAAAAGCACATACTGCATACAGAGCCTTTCATGTTATACCAGAAGATCATACTGATTGCTAACTAACCATCACCTTCAATAACTCGTAGAAAGTCATCAAGTAGATGTTCTGATGGGCTTCCGATGGAAAAATACTAGGGACCAGAACTGTCTCCTTTATGAAAAATGTGATTTGACGGAGAAAAACATCATGACAAACTTTTCTGACACATCTCTGAATTACAAAAGGCTTCTGGAAAACGAGTTTTAGAAACATCGAGACGCATGAACAAGGTGTTAAATTATATGTCTGTTGTGAATAGTCCAGCTCATCAAAACACTTTATAACGGAAGTTCATCAGATTAACCATTAGATGTCATCATTGGTGATACTTGTGGCCTCCTTAAAGTATGTTTTTTTCATAAAATGAAGATGAGTTTTTATACGTATATAAACATTATGTTTTTCTTAAGAAATACTTTAATATTCAAAAATTAAGGACATCCATTGTGTCGGAGATCCACATGTTGATGTATTTACGCCTCCCCAATTGGCATTACCCATAGCAGGTCGAATTATATATCCTGCAGGACAATTAGAACTGCTACATGAAGATGGGGGATTCAACCAAACTTCGGACCCGAAGATTCTAGCACAATTATGCCATATATTTCCGTTGCATGCTGATGGAGATATATAGGTCGTGTTTGTGTGTAATGAGTTCGCAAGAGATATTGCAACCACCGAATCATTGCACGAAGTTCCATCTGTATCAAATGTACCTTTCATAACCACTTTCGTATAACTATACGAAATGAGCGACGCTCTAAATATATTCCAACTACTTATTTGTGTCGAATTGGGCGAAACTCCATAGGTAAACACATCTGTCCAAATGATCGGATTTTGCACTAAAATCAAAAAAACGTGCTGGTGTATAGTTTTGAAAAAACGATTAATTTCAACAACAATAGCAGAATGATGATCAGTTTTCTAAATGGAAACCTGAAGTATTCACAATGTGAAAGATGAATGTGCAATGGCGTATCTATCGATTAACAGAAAATTAATGAGCATTTTAGCTTTTCTAAAGATGAAGGCTTGAAACTTATACTAGCCAAGAAAACATCGACGGTTTTGTACTTTGAAAGTACCTGATATTTATTTCGAAAAATCGTCTTTTTACCATATTAATGCAGTCTATTTCAGTGTTTCACTTTTTCTCATGTGTATTGGTGCCTTTTGTATTGCTCTTAACGAAAAGAACAGCTCATTAAACATTGCGCAAAGTGAGCTATAAATACGAAGGGTAAACGATTGCTAATGCAAAAGATTTTTCTAAATTATAAAACTTATTTCAGGATATTAGATTTTACCAGCTGTATTCTTGCACTGTGTTCCGTTCCATACAGCAGTTGAGTTGCATGCACATAACCCATTCACACAGCTAAGATCAACGTCCTGTCTACATGTTGAGTTTGATGAACATGCCGATCCTATATACAACTGATTTTGACAAATCGAGCCAGACCAAAACGTATTCGAAAGACAATCACATTGACTTTGATTGTTGCACTGAAGATTTCGATCTTCTTCACACTTGTCACACGACTGATGGTATTTGAAGAAAAGACTGGGTGAGTATCGAGTTCCACCGATTCTAGATGTTGATGAGTTTGATGGAATAACGTTACCTGTTGCTAGTTCACCTTGAAATAATCGACAGCGAAAACTCACAGAATCATAGTCAAATGTTCGACATTGTGGATTTCGACTGCAATAACTAGCACAATAAACAATTCTTCCTTCAACCCAAAATGTTTGAATATATTCAATAGAGTTAACTGGTAGAAATTCTGTACCAAAATCAGTTAACTTAACACTTGATTGCTGCATACGTTGTTGACTAACTAAGATAATTAATGCGATCATGAGGGAAAAATGTATTTTGTACATTATTTCTTTATAGTACGATTTCACTTGTTAGAGTGAAATCTAGCTATCTTAATCAACAACAAAAGAGTAGAATTTTACATATTATTTCTATCAATCTCCATCTCATTTGCATTTCTGTAGATTATAGAGAAGTTTGTTTTCCATCTGCCGTGCATGGTTAATAAATCATTTCATAATTCAATGAAGATTTTTATAAGGTCGTTAAGGAAAACGCATGAGAAGAGTTGGAAACGGAGTCATCTAAGTAATATTAAACTTTTCTCAAGAATTGTAGAGTTAGCTGGAAAATATAAAAATGTTTGAGTATATTCAACAGAGTTAGCTGGTAGGAATTCAATATAAAAATCAGTTAATTTGGCAGTGTTGGTATCCATTCTTCAAAAGAAATTGTCTCAAAGAAAATGGCTTTCCCTTCTATTTTTTCAGAACTCGCCGTAATAAACTATAGGAAGTTTTAATACTGAGCACAGTGAGTCGACGATTTTTTACTTAAAGCAAGCAAATGAGAAACATTAGAAAACAATGTAGAAGTGATAGAGGAGATTTATGAGTGAAAACTGTTTGTTAATCCAGGGCTACTCTGCATCACTAATACAAGTCCCAGAAACTACCACAGGGATATTACACGGAAAAAATAACTATTTCGACCAACAGGATCTCGTCTAGAAGTCGCTCATGGCCACTTTCTTTTTTTGTTCCAACACATTTAGAAAACATGAGCAGTTTATTTCGATGCTTTCTTGTGCATGCATACACGTGAATGTGACGGTCTCAAATCATTATTTGTCTCCTTGGAATTTGTGCACGACAGTAGTGAAATGTAGTTGTTGTATCATATGAAATTGCGTCATACGGAGAGCACCTTCCTCGTTCTTACACTTTAAAAATAGCGTCACATAGTATGAATCATAAAGAGTGATCAGCCATTTACTTATATCAATTCATAATGTACGTAGTCTGTTAGCTGATGCGCTGTCAACCAAACAAAACAAACCTAACTGTGATAATAAACAAACTCTCTCTTTGTTCTCTAAGTTTGATGCTTTGTGTGCCTTTCTTTCTCTTTCTAAACCAGCTGTTATTGGTATAGTCGAAAGTTGGTTATCACCTTTCATTGATCCTAACTGCCTTTTAATTCCAAACTATCAACCCCCGTTTAGAAAGGACAAGGTAGCGCTCGTCTCCACTCGCTCGGTTCCTTGACTTTATTAAGTTGGATCTGCGCAAGCGAACGCCCTTTGATGACTTATAAATCGAACACAATGCTCACGCCTCCCTTCGGTCGGCGCTCGCTGGAGCCAGAACTAAGGCATCCTCTGGATTTTTTTTCTTTTTTTATGTATAAGGTTCGTAATCTGATATAAATATATAAATCAAAAATCTGTAGAGGTCTAAACATATTTCTGAATTCAAAACAATGCTCACACCTCCCTACACACACACACACACATGTATGTTTTTTGAAATGAAGGCCTCACTTAAGCAAAAATTTCTTCTAATACTATGTTATCCCCCGGACTATTGCGATATCCATGAAATTATTAATCATATTCAAAAAACATTGATTACGTTATCTTTTCGCAAACGTAACTTTGATTCAGTTATTATTACAGGTGACTTAAATGCACATTGTGCTGAGTGGATTAGTGGAGTACTTTGCGAATAATATGGGTTTTGTTCAACTTTTGTTCTCATGTTGAAGTTGTACCCAACATTAAACAAGTTGTGATCACTGCGCTATATCTTTTTGATTGCCGTCCTGTTTAGCAAAACTATCATCTACCACAAGGCGCATTTCAATTATAAAGCGGCTAATTAGGAAATTTTTAGAAATAATTTGAGCTTGGTTCCTTGGCAAACACTTCTCAAAAATATGAATAATCTTGATGAGAGGGTAGAATGCGTCACGAGTATAGTCTTTGATCTTGCTAAGTCTCATATTCCTAATAAAGTTATCAAGCTCTCTAGAAGTGATAAGATATGGTTTAATGAAGAACTTAGGAAATTACACAAAAAAAGAAATATTCTGTACAGAAAATGGTCAATAAGCCAAAGGAATAATGATAAGATTAAAGCTTTAGCTGCCTAAGCCACATTTGATAAGGCGTGTGTTGAGGTAAAGAAACAGTTTTATAGTAAAATATCTGGTAAAGTATCCTCTGCAAGTAAAGCATGGTGGACTCTGGTGGATAAGGTTTTGTGTAGGACAAAAACTATTGTGATTCCATCAATTACTGTCCCAAGTGGAGAAAACATAGATGATCCAAAGGAAAAGGCTATGCTTTTTAACAATTATTTTGCTTCTAGCTGTTCTATGTCTTCTAAACAACTACATAAGCAGTTTCCTTCTTTCTCTTACAAAACAACAGCAAGAACGTCATTGATAACTGTCGCCCCTGTTGATGTAATGAAAGTGATGAACAGAATTAGGCCAAATAAAGCAGTAAGTGGAGTACTAACTAGAAGAATAGTCAAAGAGGCTACACCTATTCTTGCGCCGATCATCTGCGATCTTATTAATTCTTCTCTTAAACACTCCATCTTTCCAGACTCGTTAAAAATTGGTAATGTCTTACCAGTCTATAAGAAAGGGGATATAAACAAAATAGAAAATTATCGTCCAATCACGCTTATTCCTATTATCGGCAAGGTTATGGAACGTGTGATATTCACCTATTTATACAACTATTTCTTCTCGAATAATCTCATTTCAGTTCATCAATCTGGTTTCGATTGATGCAAATTTCTGCAATAGTTGTTTTTCTCTGTCTCCGTCAATAAAGGGTGTTGAAAATCCAAAACACTCTTGGAATGTCCAAAGAAGAAAAATTGTACTGAATAGAAAAACTGTACTGAATAGAAAAACTATAGTTTTTCCATTCTTATTACAAAAATTCTATTCATGTTTTGTTATTCGAATGATAAAAAGTATGAAGATTAATAAAATGTTTAAAGAGTTGAGTTGTCAACTATGTTTCATGCATTTAAGGGCAACAATCACAGATGCCAGCAGTCAAAGATAACTCTGAGCTCTCCAAGGTCACTTCAAAACATCTCAGAATCACCACCATTGAACTCCTGACTGCTTTGAACCTATAAAAAAGGCTAAAAGACCAACAGTGAGTTGACATGTTTTTTTGACCTCCCGAATTTGCTAGTCGATTAGAGGTATTGTGAATGAAAATGCCATATCTCAAAAAAGAAAGCGTATTAAAGGAAAAAAATGCTGAACTTTTATCAGCTTGATGAGGCGAATCTAACGGCGGTAAAAGAAAAGTTCTATCTCTATTTAAAAATGACTTGATGCCTTTTCCCTGGGACAAAGTGAGTTTTTGAGCTGTTGATATGAACGACACCTGTCAAACATCCGCACAAGAGCTGGATGATCAACAACTACATTTTTAGAATCAGTTTTTGACGTAGATCAAGATAAAAAATCTTTAAAAGCTACAGCAAATTTTGGAGAGAAGCTGTAGGTACTGTTCTGTAAAAATGTCAGGTTTTCCAAACCTTGGATTTTTGCGGTTTTTTCGAGTTTTTGACGTCAAAAAATATTTTTTCTGAATATAGTATATATATTCAGATTCAGCGCGTCGAGCTGCATCTAACCATATATAAAAACCTAAAAAGTAAAAACTGCTTGAATTCTGCAATGTCACAACCTTACAAAATACATTTTCCCCTCATGATCGTATTTACGCAGGCAGAGCATTTTGTGAGAACCTTGGATGAATAATGATGAATGTTTTCTTTAGATTGAAATAACGATGGAATCCATAGATGTATATGAGATGCAATAAAAGAAGGTAGAAAAAGATAAGAAAGAATTGATCGAAACCCTGGCTGTATTACATGAAAATAAAGCCAGAATAACTCGTAAGATTAGAAAAGTCTGATTATAGTTTTTTGAACGAAATCACATGCAGTGCTGTGGACGTCTAGAATTGTAGTGCAAACGTTTCTTCACATAATGGAACACCTCGGGACTCTGTACATGTATTTGCTTAAAAAATAAAAGTAAAATACAAAACGCCCTTTTGACACTTCATTTTAAGAAAGTAGCATTCAGTATTGTATTTTTACTTTTTAAATAAAGCAACATACGGAGCCCGAGACGTTTCATTTTGTAGAGAAAGGTCTGCATTCTAGATGATTCACAGCACTGCATGTGGTTTCGTAAAAAGATTATAAATAGAAAAAAAATGTCAACATTTCGTTGCGATGCTCCATTGATGATGGGCGAATTAAGACAAATGATTTTCTATCAGCATTTATTAAAATTCCTGGTTTTATAAATTTAATTCAAGCTTAAAAATGATTATTCCTGTCTTCAAGAATCATTATTTATTATTGCCACTATTTATTTATATATTATTTTCAAGTATAAACATGAATATGAGTTATCTCTTTTCGACATTGTAGATTCCATTCTTTGTGTTCGTGTGACCAAATGGTGTTCGGAATGATTCGATGTACTGTTCAATAAATTGTGGAACAACTTGTGGATGATATTTGTTACATATTTTGCAGTAACGTTGAAACTATTCTAAATTTGTTAACTTACAAAGTATCTATTCCCACCAATGCCCATCTATCAAACTATTACTAGTGCTGAAGTCTACAAATTGGAAATAAGGTAATTTTGGTAAACAAGCCAGTAATTCTTCTAAAAATTCGAAATCCCAGTTACCATGATCCTTTATTATAAGTTGAAAGTAACTTAAACTTGATAGTATCAGTACTGAGCTATTACTCTCTTCAAAATCTTTTGCGCACGTCTAAGGGCTATTAAACGTTTTAGTTTTGGTATGTGCAACAAAAAATTTATAGATATGGTCGATATAATATAATTCAATTGTTTAGAGCGACACATTGTTACGGATGGGCAATTAAATTAATTTAAAGTGCCCAACTGGCGTGAGCACAAGGCTCACGCCAGTTGGATACTTTAAATTTTCGAGAAACGCACAATGTGCTAATGGAAAAGTTTCGCAACGTGGAAGAAGGCTATGGAACGACGAAGGAACAGGATTCGTCCAGTTAGATCAATATACAATATTCCTTCCTCGTTTTTAAACTCATTTTTCCTCCATTTTTGTACCTTATGGTGTCAAATCTTTATTTGAGAAAAATGCACGTTGTACCCCACATTTTTTCAGCAATTAGTACTGAACCTTATATGTCCAACTGTTGAGCAAATAACCGATGCCATTAATAGCCTACGCGAAAATGTTGCATGCTGCCCAGACGAAATCCCAGCCGCTGTATTAAAAAAAAACGTCAGTATCATTTCTATACAGCTGCACCATATCTTTAAATTATCCATCGAAACAGGAGAATTTCCTGATAAATGGAAAGTTGCTACAGTCAATCCGACTTATAAAAAGGGTCCTAAAAATATTGTGTCTAATTATAGACCAATATCTCTCCTTAGTATCGCTAGTAAAATTCTTGAAAGATTCGTTTATAATCAACTTTCTAACCATCTTAATTCAAACAATTTTTTCTCAAATAACCAGTTTGGCTTTAGGCCCAAGATCTCAACCGTTGATGCACTTCTTTACCTATTAAATAACTTGACAAAGAACCTAAATACACAACCACCAGTAGACACCATCTTGGTCGCATTTGATTTAGAAAAAGCCTTTGATAAGGTCTCGTTTCAAATTATTCTATCGCGTTTAGCGCTGTTAGGCTTGTCATCGAATGTGCTAAAATGGTTTACTAGTTATTTAACTAACCGCTTCCAGCAAGTACGTGTTGGCGCTGCTTTATCTACGCCTACGCCAGTGCTCTCCGGGGTAGTACAAGGTTCAGTTCTTGGCGCCTTACTTTTCCTTATTTTCATAAATGAACTACCAACTGTAGTCCAATTACCAGCAGACAGCATACTTTTTGCTGATGACTGTACACTCTACTGTCCAATGGCCTCGTCTGATACGCCAGCTGTATGTCAAGAGAATATTGAGAAAATATGTAACTGGTGTACCTCAAATCTGATGTCTCTAAACGCAAATAAATGTGCCTGGATGTTTGTCTCTAATATACCAAGTAGAGCTAATAATTTACAGTTCACATTGAGTGAAAGTACAACCATAACACATCAACCTTCCGTTATACTCTTAGGCCTTAAAGTCAGTTCTAATCTGAGATGGCGCGAACATATTGAAGACGTTGTACTAAATTGTAGAAAACGACTAGGTGCTATGTACAGACAATTTAAAGATGCACCCTCTTCAATTCGTCTACAAATTTATAAAACCTGCATATTAGCCAAATTAGATTACGCTTGTGCTCTGTACGACAATAACTTTGCTAATTTGGAAAGTCAACTTGAATCAGTTCAAAAATTAGCGGCTCACATGATCACACGTGATTTTCATACACCAGGAAAAGTCCTTGTCGAAAAACTAAAACTACCTTTACTCTCCGTGCGAAGGAAGTATTTCCGACTAATGTATTTTTTTAAAGTCCTTAACGGCTTATCACCCTTATCTCGCTTCAATCTTATACAGTTTGATGTGAGTAGAAGATCCGATCGTCTACTACAGCATAACAGACAAGTCTTTATCCCGTTTGCGCGCACTGACACTGTTCAGTGCCAGTTGTGTAGTTGTGCCAGTATACTAAAGTTTACTCTTTTTTTTTCAAAACTGCTGTTGTCGAAATAAAAACAAACAAACAAACCTTCGTCTGTTCACTTTTCACAAGGATGCTTTCGAAAAATCGAAAGTGGCTGAATGCTTTATTCTGCAGAATAACAACTAGTTTGTTTCTCTCAAGAAATCAATTACTTGTTTTCAACGATGTCAAAAATCTAATGGCTTTCTTTGCATAAGAAAGCCATTAGATTTTTCTGAACAACAAAAAGCTGTTGAAGTGTCGACGAGCTCTCCTAATCTTTGAAAACATGTAATGGATTTCTTGAGAGAAACAAACTGGTTGTTATTCTGCAGAATAAAGCATTCAGCCACTTTCGATTTTTCGATTTTTCTAAAGCATCCTTGTGAAAAGTGAACAGACGAAGGTAAGTATTGAAAACATGTTAGAGCTTACATAGCTATAATAATTTTGCGCATAATAATGTCGTTGGTCTCCATCTTACACCGATGATCGTCATTGAATGCCCAATGTAGAGCTGAATAAAGTGTGCACCGTTAGCCGGACCAAGAACTTCAAGTCAAAAACTATCCTAATCGGTTGTCCATCTTTTATTCTACCTTTAATACAAATTTCAGCTTCAACGGTTCAAACTTCGTGACATCAGGATCCGAACATGTTGACAATTAGTATAACAACCGCCCAAGTACCGAATACCCGTACCCACTATTCTCCTTCTACAGATACTGAGTGCAAGCGTCCCTGTCGCACCCCACCACTCCCATCTCACAACACTGACATTGAGACGTTGGTTACAATACGAGCTGGGTGCAAGGACGTTTTCATAATTCACATAACTCCCACATTTCTCAAAAATTCTCATAATTCTCATAATCCTCAACATTCTCCTAACTCTCAACATTCTCAGATTCCTCGAGAATCTCATAAATTCACATAACTCTTCACATTCTCATAATCCTAGGCATTCTCAACACTCTCATAATTCTCATAATCTTCGACACTCTGCTAATTGTAATATTACTCCGCATTCTCTACACTGTCATAATTCTTATAATTCTCAGCATCCTGACAATTCTAAACATTTCCATCTCAATAATCGGCATTCTCATAACTCTCACAACTATCGGCATTCGCAAAATTCTCACTATTCTCTTGATTATAAACACTCGGAAAATTATCACGATGCTCATAATTTTGACGTTCCCAACAGGCTCATATTTATCAAAATTCTCGAAATTCTACTAATTCTCCACACTCTCATAACTCTCATAATCCACACAATAAGCATAATTATGGTAATTCTCATAATCCTCGACACTGCGATAATTCTCAAATTTCCGACATTTCTGAAAAGTCTAATATTTCCGGCATGTCATAGTTTCTATAATTCTCATAATTCACACACTTCGCAAAACTCGCATAATTCCGACATTCCGAACACGCTGATAATTCTCAAAATTCTCGAAATTCGCATAATTCTAATATACATAATTATCTTAATTCTCATTCCAACACTCTTATAGTTCGCGACATTCTCAACATTCTCTTAGTTCTCCAAATTCTCAGAATTCTGACAATTTTGAACATTTTCATAATTGTCACTGTTGGCATTCTGGCAACCATCGTACTAATTCTGAGAATTCTCAACAAGCTAGTAATCTTCAAAATGCTCAAATTTATAATAATTCACATGATTCTCAACGCTCTCATAATCCTCGACACTCTGCCAATTCTTAGAATTCTCAGCATTCTGCTGATTCTAATAATTCTGCGCATTCTCTACACTGTCATAACTCTCATAATTCTGCTAAACCTCAGCACCCTTATCTCAACATTCTCATAGTCTTCAAAATTCTCAGCCTTCTGATAATTTTGAACATTCTCATGATTCTCAATATTCTGATAATTAGCAAAATTCTAATAACACTCATAATTCTCATAGTTCCCGAAGTTCTCATAATCCTCATCATTGTCATAATTCTTAACATTCTCAGATTTCTCGAAATTCGCATAAATTCACATAACTCTTCACATTCTCATAATCTTAGGCATTCTCAACACTCATAATTCCGACATTTGTCAAAATTCTCATAAATCGCATAATCGTCGACATTCTGTTATTCTCAAAATTCTCGTAAACCTCAGCACTCTTATAGTTCGCGACATTCTCAACATGCTCGTAGTTCTCAAAATTTTCAGCATTCGGATAGGTCTGAACATTCTCATAATTCTCCAACCATCGGCATTCTCAACATTCACATTCGTCTCTTCATTCTGAACACTCTGAACATTCTCCTGATTTTCATAAATTCACGTAATTCTTTACATTCTCATAATTCGCAACACTCTCACAATTTTCATAATCCTCAGCACTTTGATAATTCTGCTTATACCCATAATTGTCATATTTCTCAACATCCTCGGCGTTGTTATAGTTGTCAACACGCTCATATTTCTCAACATTCTCATAATTTGTAGTAATTAGGATAACTTCACGCTGCGTATTGTGCATGGTGTATTACGTATGCAAGTGTGATGTAATATGTGTTAGGATGGTATTTCGTTTCGTGCATCCCGTTGCGGGTTGTAATTTTCATAAGTTGCGAAATTTGTAATTTGAAAAGGAGTGGTGTCATAAGTCGCATACAATCCGTATCGTCATTTGTTGGCGAGCATGGGTATTTGGGGAAAAGCAAAGCCTAAATCACTGCGAAATAGTTTTATTTTTAGTACCAAACGCTTCCTCAATAAATTCTAAGTCTGGTAGACTATAGAACGAACAAAATCAGGGAAGGCTGAAAAACTGTCCCTATGCGCCCCTGTTCCTTGCTTATAGCAACCCTGATAAAAACACATCTACCCTTACGATGGTAGATGAGATTAGCACTTTTTCAGTAACCCTCCCTGTAATAGAAGCCTCCGGGGCTTCTAAACTGTCCAAGGGTTCAAACTTTTTAGGGGGACTTCTGATAGATCCGACTATTTTTCAAGGGTTTCATGTACAAAAATTTTGTAACAACTTTTAGGGTTTTCCAAAGCTTTTCGAAGGAGTTTCAAGGCGATTTTCAGATTCCGATGCTGGTATGTAAAATTTAAACGAGGTTTTACCTTAAAATTTGACAGTTTTACTTTAGAAATACGAATAAAACTTTCCGAAAATTTCAAAATTTTTCTCAAATGAGGGGGCTTCCAATACATTTTTCGCATCCACCTCTCCAAGGGGGGCTTCTAATAAGAGCATGAGTTTCTAATAGGGGAAGACTTCTATTATGGGGGGGGGGGGGGGGTAGTGGAACAAAGCCCCGGGGGTCCGTTTAGGCGCACGAATGCGACAAAAAACAAAAAAAGTGTCCGTGAATGGGGGGC